CCCTAAACCCTAAACCCGTAGCCCTACAACCCCCAACCCTCCGGTCGAGCCATGCGTCCCTGGCAGCTTCTTCCTGTGCTTTGGGTGCCCTGGGAAGCATTTTCTGTCCAGACCTTATACCTTAGACTGTACCCTAAGGNNTTAGGGTTGAGGGTTTAAGGGTTTGGGGTTAGGGGTTCGAGTTGGGCATTGATTTTTGGATATGTTCTAATTTAGCTAGTAACCCTAAGGGTCCAAAGGACCCAATAATAAGGTACTTTGGTTGCGGATGGTAGTTTTCTAGGTTAATATTTGGGAGAGTATATGATTATTAGGTACTTGGACCCTTAGGGGTAAATAAGATCCTGTACATGATTTAAGGAAGGTGTTCCTCAATTAAGAGATATTGGAGGGTCTGGGTGCTACAGGAGTTCGAATGATCAGAAAGATCATGCTGTGCCTTATTGCTCCGTGTAGCAACACTACGCCACAATATACCCCACAACCTTATTTTACATATTCAGGCCCGTATATTAGCATTGGCGCCGAAGCTGTTTATCTAGAAATATATTATTTTGGAATTCGGGTACAGGCAACAAATATCCAAAACGTATATGTGGATGTATATATACATATATATATATATATATACATGTGTATATATATATATACATACATATCTTTTATATATTATTGAGTTGTGCAATATATGTGTATGTGTATATATATATACATATGTGAATGTATCAGGTGTGCAGGTGTGCGTGTGTTTACATATATGTATGTATGTGTATATATATATATACACACACACACATTTGGGGGTCAGGAGAGCTTCGGATGACTCCGGGCACCCAAACGCATCAATCCTGAAGAACTCCAAACCCGAAAACCTAAATCCACTGCCCCAGAACAAATCCAGAGCACCCACAGCGCTTAATCAGTTTAGGGTGTAGGGTTTAGGGCAAGTGAGAATAGGGGCCTTAATAATCACCAATATAACCGCAAGGCCCTTTTTTTCATTATTAAGGCCCCTACATCAACTGAACTGCCAAAACCAACACTAGGTCACAAAGATCCCCAGGCTCCGATATGTTGAGTCTCCATGCACATGACACAACCCTACCTGTAACATAGAAGCCTAAATACTTATCACTTTTACTGTTAGGGTTCCTTATTATATTGATTCTATAAAGGAGCCCAAAACCCTCTGCTTATTATCAAGGCCCCTACATTACCTGAAGTCCCCATTGTAGTTCCTTCTTTGGTGTTACCAATTTTATAGGTAGGCTTCTGTAAGGTAATTACTCCAAAAAAGGAACTACAATGGAGACGATAGGTCCGATAGGTAAGAACAAAACAACCGCACAGCATACCCGAAACGCTCGGTGGTTGGGATCGGGGCGTAGAGAAGTATTTCAAAAAAACCGAAGTATATGCACCCCTTGGAATCCACACATCGAACTCTTGCAGAGCCTGCAAACATTCCTGCAGAACCCATCTATATATATATATATGTATGCTTATATATATATATATGTATATGTGATATAGAAGCCTTATAAAGCTCAGTAAATACTATTTGTACCGCCAATACAGCCGCTTCGGCAAGCCGGCTCAGACGTCTGGCTCGTGGCGATGCAGTGCTTCACTGGGGCTTTCAAGTCAGTTCGGAATAGGGTTTAGGGTTTAGGGTTTAGGGTTGAGGCAAGAGCTACGGCTCTTCGAGATTGCTACACTTTGTACTTGTGTCCGCCTGTACTTAGGGTCTTGCTAAGGGACACGAGCTTGCTGAAGGAGCTTCAGCAAGAAGCTTTGCCTTAGGGATGCCAGAAGTCTCGCTTTCATAGGCTCTGGAGGGTTTAGGGGTTAGGGGTTTAGGGTTTAGGGTTTAGGGTTTCGTCTCTTTCTGCGGCTTTCTCGCTCCGTTCGCCATGAACGCCCGGCTCGCCCACGTGCAAGCGCAGCAGGCAGCTCAGGCCCAGCAGGCGGCGCAAGCACAGGCTGGGTTTTAGGGGATTAGGGGTTTAGGGGTTTATAGGG